TTGGGGACCAATGCCGAATGACCACAAGTGTCACATTGCCGTAGAAAACTGCAAACTGGCGCATAATATGAACTTATTCAGAATATTCACAGTACTATGGGTTGAAGCCAGATTCAACCCTTCGAGGGAATTGGTTTTTATTGAAAAAAATTTAAAATGAGTCAAGCTTTGAAATATGTCATTTGGAAGCTCAAAAAATCCATCTCAAAATCACTCACTTATATTGCATTCGTTCCAAATGCGGATCGTGTCGAAGTTTCTTCACCAAAATGTACAGTATTCGTGACATCAGCACAACGTTTACCTGAAAAACGCTTACAGTAATTACACGTGTCTGCTCAGGTGACGCTGCTCAGTAATCTAAGTGTTGTAACGGCTGAATGGACCCACCACTGTGAGATGGTGACATCTGACTGTACAATGAATTCACTAAAAGTAAAAGAAACTCACAGAAAGTGCCAGAATACACGGGATGATGATTGTGGATTCTATCCAACCGTTCACCGATGGCGACACCCAACATCCTTCGTTATCGAGGCTTTCACGCAGTGCACCGTAGACGACGGCAATCACCGCTGGGACTCCTGAATTCGAGAAGATTACGTTTTTTCAATCAATCGAGATTTTCCCAGAGAAGAAGAATATAGAAAATTTCCACTGTTCATAAAAAAAATGCCGCTTGCGCCTCTTGTCACTACATCACCTTGGCCCTACTGTAATAAATGGCCAGCTGAAAGTGACTCACCCCAACAAAGAATTTTGTAGATTGTGAGGTTTTCACTGTCGCCACTGTCACTTACTAGTAGCCGATACAAATGCACTCCTTCGGCTAGCATCCAACTGAACGTGGCCAGACGAAGGAAGCGTAATTGAACGAGAAATAGCAATCGACAAGAGATCTGCAATAAATATAACTTTTTCTCTGGGATCATTTACCCGAGGCTAACTTGGATATTGAGAATGGTTCACCCATAAGCCAACGGCCCGGATCATTTGCAAAACCACGACTCTGATCCTATGTGGGAGAATCACTGAGAATTTCTGCGCCTAAGCTATTCCAGAAGTCCCTTTGGGATGATTTCTAGAGCATAAACCAGAGTTCGAATCTCTCGAGTGGCAATGTGTCGCCGCTCCATTGTTAAGCTTGTGTTGAAGCACAATAGAGTATCGCGTGAATAATTCCATTGGGACATGGCTCTGCATGGAATCTCCGGGCGACCATAGTCTGGCCGTGGCAACCAGAATCAAGAACAGCATCTCATATAAATAGCCGCGACTTCTTTGGTCTGAACCTCGGAAATGGTGATGACTGAGTGGAGATTACCAATACAGTGGGTAGGGAGCAACGAGGCCATTCTTGACGTTAGAGGAAGATTTTGGCATACAATACGCGACTTCCTCTCGAAATTTTCCCTTTCCGGTAACCTCCCCATCCCCCCGCTCCTCCATGTTTCTAGATTCTCTCATGTTTCTTCCCACTTATCCGGGTTTTTCTCTTTCAAAGGAGCTACCGTTGTTGGCGATGGTGGGCGAAGCAGGAAAGACTTTGATGATAAGGTGGAAAAACCAGTGGCTATTCACATTTTTTGAAAAAGGGCGAAATGCAACGACGTCCCTCCTTCCACCAAATACGCCTCCCCCCCCCCTTTGGGGTACCACTTAACAACAGTGACCGCGTGCGTAAGGGAAATTTTCCTCGTTGTTAAATACTGCTTATTCCCAATCCGGACGAGGAATATTACCACCAACAGAAAATTTCCCCTCGAGATGAAATTTCTCCCTTCCTGTAAACCGAATAAGCTCTCTCGATGAGCTTCGCCCAGCTGTGCTGTACCCTACCGCCCATCCTTCTGTCATGCAGTTCAGGAACTTTGAGTGCTTTTTGTGCGCTGTATGCAATGACCTGTGAAATGAGCCCATGCTCACACTGGCTACTGTACACACTTGTTCGCTGCGGATGCTGAGGCGAGTCAGGGCAGAAATGGGTGTTTCGCACAGCGCGCCAGCCCGATTTCAGCAGATTCTTGTCACTTGGGCCTTTGATTGACTGGTGGGAGCGGACTGGCATTGCGCCAGTCCAGCCCTCCCCTGATACTTCGCAGCGTCCGCAGCGAACAGGCTATGTATATTTTCCCGAACGTTTAAATGGTTCATATTGTAGCAGGGACTTTGACTTTTTCTAGAACGGAATGTTTAGCTTACGATTTTACAGGGTGCTACCTTTCTTGTTCAAAGGAGGTTTACCAGGGGGGGGCAAAAAAAAGTCACTTCGACCGAGTCACATATCAGCAAAGTTTTCGCTGCCCAGACAGAGGACGTGGATATGAGTACCAGGGCGGAAGATACCAAGATGTTCCTCGATAAGCAGGAGCTGGCTCTCGCCCATCACCTTCATGTACACCAAATATGGAAGTCATCCTCAGTCGCAAAGCCTGACTATGGCGAAAGACCGTGGAAATTCATTCACCTCCAACAGACCCTGCGAAACTTCTAGTATGGAATCACCCATAAATAGCTACCTGAGAGCAGTACTCTCGATCTGGAAGACCTCCATCATCGAGCAGCTCCGACAACGTCGCTACGGTCTAGGACATCATCTTCACGGCAGTCGCCAAGGCGCGGGTTGATGGTATGACCGGACGCACCTGGAATGGAAAGAAACATATTTTTTCTTGGACCCGGGCTGAAGGTGAGCGCTGGCGGTTACATCGGAGCAACTCGTGAAGAATATCCTCCTCACATGTCGTCGCCCGTACCTTCTTGGAAACTTTGTACTGCTGCCATACAGCATGGCGTTTAGCCACCACATGACGATCAAAGGCATTGGAGAAACTCTCGCCTACTTGGAAGTGGAAGGGGCTGAGTACCTAAAGAAGATGGAATATCCAAGTAGGTCACCTGACCTGAATCCCCTCAATTACCCGGTTCGGGCGGAGTTCAATAGGGTGGTCTACGGTGGCGGAGAAATCGACTATCTCGCTGATCTCAGGACCACATCGCGGTCGCGTGCCAGAATCTCTCGATGGCGCTCGTCCAGAAGGCTGTGGCGGAGTGTCGTGATAGTATTTAATATGCTCTTCAATATGGTGGTGAAAATGTCCGATCAGAATTCAATAAAGTGTAACTTATAAGCGCCTCGAAAGTCAATGAAGAAGTACTTTTTTTTGGCCTCCCTTGATTCCTACATTAAATACCTGAACGGTACGATCCAACGCATGCGGGAGCGACCCTTATAGGCCATCTTCGGTGACTTCTGAGCTCATTTCGATAGGCACATTTTTTTCTTTTTAGTGTATTATATCCTTTTATATTTATATTTTATCTTCATATATAATTTGTGTTTTATTTATTATTTTTATTTTTTATTATTTAAATTATTTGTTTTATTTTTTTGATTTTATTTACTGTTTTTTTTTTATTTTATTTTTTTATTCATTTTTTTTTTTATTATATATTTCTTCATTAGTTTAATTTTTTATTGTTATTTTCATAATTTATTTATTTCATCTTTATTCATATTTTCTTTTTTTTTTTTATCTTTTTTTTTATAATTATTTACTTATAATATTTATTTATTTTTAATATTCTCTTTAAATTTTTTTTTTGTTTTATTTTTTTAATTTTTTTTATTTGTTATCTTTTATTCTATTATAATTTGTTTTTATTTCTTTTTTTCTTTTTTTTTTTTAAATTATTTTTATTTTATTATCTCAATATACTTTAACTCACATGATTTGCAAAAATTAGTGTGTCGCCGGGTGCACCGTCGACTACATAGAAAAAACAGTTGAACAGGTAGAAAAGACCCGAAAGAACGAATGAAGTGAGCAGATGGCGATGAACGATGAACATTGGCTGATGTCGTAACGGCCTGAAGAAAAGCACATTATTGGAGAAGGCTTCAGTGGAGGGGGGGGGTACATTTTGCACTTTCGCTTTCCTTCTTTCTCAATTCCTGTTAAATTACACACTCACCCAGGGTGATACCTGTAGCGTTTTTGTAATGTGTAAGCTAAGCTTCTGCTATGGCATAGCTTTACAAGAAGTTACAGGTCTCTACAGGAGGCATCGGCAATGATCCATGGAAACCCACAAAATGCCTCCCTCCCGAGCCGAATTGCGCTTGGGAAAGTATGGTGGAAGGGTAAAAGAGGCTGCACTTCTGTAAGCAGGGTCAATGGTGCTGCGACGCTGAGCTACTGAAATCTGGTCAGAAGAGCCATACCTTTGGCTGACTTATTTACATCTCTGGTTCCCTTTGGTGCTATAGGCAATAAGCTTGAGGAAATTACCTCCGAAAAAGGTATCCATTAATAACCCTGTAAATATGGGATACCATAGTAACCACACCATTTATGCGTAACCAATTTGAAGCATATTATGTGGTACAAGGAGTATACGAATCTGAGTGGGCGCGTGACTAAGCCCACAGCGTTACAGTAGTTCTAGGTGGAAGTTAGAGACTATAAGTCAGAATAATGGCAGCTTGGTAAGCGCATGAATGCCACGTTACTTTTAAAAGCTCTGGGGAAATACTTAGGGAGCCTAAGGTTCTCCGATGAATCCTCAATTTCCCCATTTCATAGAAATATTCATGTGAAAAATGAAAATTCAATAATAGTTCCCGAACACCTATGGGCAGGTTACATTCACTTGCGGTGAAAAACCCAAAAAGGGGATGCAATCGGGGTCATGTGCGCGACATTCGCACCAGGACCTATTCAATTTAACTTTGCAGTGCTGGAGCGTGTCTTGTCAAATTTATTAGTTCGCGTGTCGGCGAGAATGCGAATGTAATGTCCCACTTGGATCAATAAATTCGATAATTAAGAAGTAACCAAAGAAAAGACTCACCGAAAAAACCACAAAATAAAAATTGCAGGAATCAGACAGATCACACTAATAGAAAAGGCGATGATGCCAGCCAGCAGTTTCACTTGCGCTTCCTGAAAATCGATTGATAATTGTCTGAAGAAAACTGTAAAAAAATAATTTATTATCAAGGATTATAACTCATAACCATTTGAGATAAAATTTGCGTTATCATTTTTACTAGTTACTCTATTTTTATTGAAAATTATTCTCACAGGTGTTTCAACCTCCTAAAACTCTAAACAGCAATGCCCGAAAAACTTGCCACGTATGAGATTCAACAGCAACCTATTGATCGCTTTTCTTGCTGGAAAAAGGAACTTATTCCGTGGACAGTCTAAGTATGTACTCTTATGGCAGTAAGGCTGCGTTTATACTTTGCGGCAGCGTAGCGTAGCGCTTCCAGCGTACGCCAGCGGCAGTGCCGGGGAGAGGATGCATATCGATCTAGCGTTCCCAGCGTCACCAGCGTTTCACCAGCGTTTTGCTAGCGTTTGCAGCGGCAGGGGAGTAGAGACTATGGGAGAGCTGGAGGGTACAAAACACATCGATTGCGCGTCTCTCACTCGCCCTCAGTCTCTACAATACACATCGATTGCGTCTCTTACGGCCACAGTCTCTATTTAGTCTCTACTCCCCTGTCGCTGCAAACGCCAGCAAAACGCTGGTGAAACGCTGGAGAAACGCTGGCGTACGCTAGCGTTACGCTGGTGACGCTGGGAGCGCTAGATCGATATCCATCCTCTCCCCGGCACTGCCGCTGGCGTACGCTGGAAGCGCTACGCTACGCTGCGCTACGCTACGCTGCCGCAAAGTATAAACGCAGCCTAAGAGACGGAGTCCAGAAAGTGCTGCCATGAAGCTGAAAAGACCTCAGGGACCTCGCTTTAACGTCGGCGAAGAAAACTAAGTAGTCTGCATAAGCGCGGTGCACGATGGTCAAGCAGGCAACGTCAAAGGCTATGCTACTTTTGAAAGTAGAAAAACAGCAAGCCGTCTCTTATCAGTGTATCGTCACCTTTCGCAAATTCAGCGAGAGTGATTATCGCTCAGTGATCTG